CATCAGCGTCTCATAAGCCCGCGCTCAGGCCTGCAGGCTCCGGCTCAGGCGGGGAGGCCGCGCAGGGCTGGGTCCCGCGGCTCTCGGTGTCTCAGCCCAGCACCGCTCCCTCGGTTCTACCTGCTGACGGTGTTTCCAAAGCCGGGCTTAGGAGGGGTGCGGGGCCGGGTGGGCCATCCCGGCCCAGGGGCTGCTGGCCCGGGCACGCGGATGAGCCGGGCGTTGACGGCGAGCACACACGTTCTTTTCTTTCCTTGGCTCGCTTTCTAATTCACCAGCAGGGCTGAGGACGGAGAGCTGGGCTTTCAAAGCCCGGCTATGTCTCGTCTGACCTTGCTGGTGCCACGCTGCCTTTTGTTTGTAATCTTGGGCAAGAAGAAATGGAAAAAGGGTTTGATAGGAGACAAAAGCAAACAATAGCCTCGCTCCAAAGATACGATGAATGGGCTGTAATTGAATTTTTTGGTGAAGACATTGATTTGACCCTGTAAGACACACAGAGTGAATCATTAGGGGAATTAACACACATTAAAATGCAGGTTATTATTTTTTTTTATCAGAGGGCTTTTATTGTGCCTATAGTTTTGGTTTTAATTATTTAATGACTTTGTGTCTTCTAGTGATAAATCTATTTCTTCCCCCTTTTTTTCAAAAGGAAAGATGGTTGTTGGCTGATGGCAAAGGGGAACATGCCCCGAGCAGCTGATGAGTGCTGGCTCTTCGTTAGCAGCCCTGCTCCTGCCCCGGAGCACGCACAGACACGTGCTTTTAAAAAAGCATCTCTTGCAACCTGTTGAGAAAACATCAGTGCTAGTCTGACCACTTTTTTCTGGGCCCTTCAGATTTATTTTTCCAATCTGTGTGTAGCAAAAACTACGTAGGAATTAATTTCTTGCAAGAGCCTGTGTGGGATATGGTGTTTAGGGGAAATTTCCAGACTTGGGCTGCTCGGGGTGGGTTTGACCCTGGATTTTCAGAGTGCCGACTGCTCCCAGCAGCAGCTCCTTCTGTGTCGCCTGTGGCTTCAAGACTTCTCAGCAACCTCACCCTTGTGTTTTGCATCTCACAGGTGGTGCTTTCCTCACCATGCTGACAGATTTGAAAAACCCAGATTATTTTATGGCTTGAGCTGCTTGGGCTCGCCCTTAGCTTGGTTTGGGCGTTGCCTGCAGGAGCTGCTTGGCTGCGGATTTGCGCATGCCGCCTGCGTCTCCTCCCGAGGAGCATCTCCTTTCCCTCCTGCCCCGACCTCGGAGCGGCCGCCGCTGCGGTGCCCGTCGGTTTGCTGCCAGCCCTGGGTTCCGTGCTTTGCGGGGCCTTTCCTGGGCGATGGACACAGAGGGGTGTAGTTACAGGAAGCAGAACGCTTGAAGAACGTGATTTAAAGGGGGTTTGCTGGCGGCAGAGAGGTCGGCATCCCCGACACGTCCTCCCCGTCCCCACGACAGGCTCCCTCCACCCAGGCCGCGGGCGCTGGCCGCAGGCGTCTGGCTCCGAGCTCCTCCACACCTGGGGCGTGCGGCTCTCCTCTCCCTTCCCTGAGAAAAACAGCGTTCGGGGTTCAGCCCGTGCCCAGGATGTGCCTTTCAGTGGAAAGTCACCTTTTTGCCCGGCTCTGTGTGTGTGTCAGCCCCTGAGTCATCTGTTTCTCCCAGTTCTGCTCCAGTTGGAGGTGGCAGACAGAGATGATTCTCCCAGCCGTGGTGCTGATGCCGTGGCAGAAGTTGGCACATGGGTGTCAAACCGTACACAGGCGTTCCTGCTCGCTCCTGCCTGCGCGGGGTGGGCTGGCCAGGACACCAGGGACCGGCTGTCCTGACCCCAAACCCTGTCCGGGCTCCATGGGCCCGGTTTTGGCTCCGACAGCGCCCCGGCCCCCCCTCGCCGGCGATGCCAAGATGTGCTGGTGAAGGACGCGGTGCTCTGGGCGATGGGCTGCAGGCAGGCAGTGCAGGAGGGGGTTTGGGCGGTTTATTGCACGCCAGTCCTTGTGATTGTGAGTACTCAGGGCATGGAAGGCAGAGTGGAGGATTGCCTGCCGCTCTGCTCTACGTGTTAATTTATAGCGCTGCCGTGAGGTAGATTTTCCTTGTTAGCCAAGGTATTTCCTCTGGAGGAGGGAAATCAGGCTGTAATGTGTCATTAAGCAGAAAGCCTGGGGGAGCTCCTATCCTAGTTGATGCGGATCCTTCTTTTATCCGGTTAGGAGAATTGAATTACACGTTTGGAGTTGTCTGAAGATCCAGCTGGGAGCCCGGCCGGGGCTGTGGCTTCTCGTCCTGCTGCGGCGGGGCCAGGAGCTGCCCGCACACCTCGGTAACGCGCCTCTGTCCCGGTGTCACCCGCGGGCTGCGGCTCGCTCTGCACCGTGTTCTCTGCCCAAATCTGCTGAGCAGGCCCAGGCCAGCAGTGGGGAAGCAAATGTTCTGCCTCCAAACGTGGCGGCAGCTCCTCCCATCATTGACAGTTTTGGGATGAAGCGTTTGAGTGTGCAGGGTACAGGCTGGCTGGAAGGAATGAAGTAAACAAGCCTTGGGTAAAATTGACATTCATTTACCTGCAATACTCGGGTTTTCTCTGCTATAGCAATATGTTTATTCAGCCACAGAAGTTAAAAATTGCTATATTCTCCTTAGGGCAAGTTGAGTTTCGGTAAAAAATAGGCAAAATCCTTTGCTAATCCTGAAGCCCAACAAACTGCCTGTTTTTGCAGGGTTTTGAGGGTGAATCAGCCAGATCCGTTTCTGCACCAAAGGGATTTGTGTCTGTAAGTGCCTGCTGACGCAGCCCCCCCGCCCCGGGCGGCCGGGGGCTCGGGCCTGGGGGAGGACGTGCAGAGCTCGCTCTTGGGCGCTGCAGGTGCTCATCCCTCGTCTCCCCAAAGCTCGTCTCGCCGTAAGGGGTGAGGTGACGCGGATTTGTAGCGTTGCAAGTCAAGGACGTAACGTGGGATGGGAATAAAATTCTGCAGACCGCAGCACTTTGGTGAAAATACTGTGCTGGCTTTAAAAAAAAAAAGCAGAAATCTGTGTTTGCCTGTTTTGAAGTTTCATATTTTTTGAAGAATTTTAGTTGCAGAGTGTTTTTGCGTGATTTTTTTTTTGTGATATATATACACACATGAAATCAGTGGTTGGCTCTACAGCTCACAGCCTGCGTCAAAGCCGCGAGCGAACGCTGCATCAGTGGTTCTTGCGGGAAGCGACGGGCAACGCCTCTTCGGAGCCCGTTGGAAACGTGGGGCCGGAGCTTTTTGGCTGCGCAGTGTCTGGATTGTAGCACTTGCATCGGATTCAGCTGCATCGCCTGTGAAAGTGCAAGGCTTGCCATGTTCTCGGGCAAGGTCGCGAGTGTAGGTGCTGTGCCAGCCACCGGCGTCCCGGCAGAGGGCTGCTCCGGGTTATTTTGATCTTGACTTTTGCACGGCAATTAGCCAGAAATTAGAAAGAGGCGTTTTTGGAGCTTCGTGTCAGCGCTCCTCCTCCTGGCTCACGTAGAAGCGTCACTGCTCCGCCGTCCGCTGCTGCGGTGATCGTTTCAAAATGCAGAGTCGGGCTTGGGAAGTGCAGGGGGCGGCGGTGCATTCTGGGAGAATTTATTGGCAGTGTAAACATGTTGGTTAGGAGTCATTAATATGACATTCACACAACTCTAATAAAGTACATAACATGGAGATCTGGCACCACTGCAATACCCAGAGGACATTAAGTATGAGTCTTAAAACCAAGAGTATTGGAAACAAGATATTTTTACGTCTCGTTTGGGAGTAATATAATTGCATTTCGTGGCTCTAGCAGATGCTTGGGCCAGCTGGTTGGAGAGCATTGTGGATTTTTTTAGCTTTGGTACTATACAGCTACAACCCTTATATAGAACTATCTTTAAAAAAAAAAAAAAAAGGGGAAAATCATCTCCTGGTCACAAGACCCATTTCTTGTGTGTATGTTCCCTTAGTGATGGCGCAGCCTGTAGATGCTTCTGTTGCAGCAGCTCTGGCGATCGAACCGCCCGTGGGTTTGGGGTCTAATCTGAGGCAACCGAACGTTCAAGGCAGCTTCAGTGACCTCTGCAGAGCTGCTGCTATTGCAGGTCTCTCTGGGAGGGACACTCCGGCCCAGCTGGGAAGCAACGCTTGGAAGGGAACCGTCAAAACCCGACATCTCTCTGAGTATATCTGCATGGGCAGGGAAAAAGCATGTTTCCAGCAGGCTGTGGAGTGCAGCCCCGGGGGTCCTTGGCCCTCTCTAGGTGCGGGGATGTTGCTGGTGCGGTGACAGGAGCTGTGGTCGGCCGGGACAGTCACTGGCCCCGCATCAGCTCGGGTGCGGGTGGCCCGGGCCTCTCCCCAGCTGCCAGCGATGCTCAGCCCACCGCGCCGTGGCCACCCCGGGTTTGTAGAGGGAAGGGCTGGGCGGCCATCCCGCGTTCGTCACGCGGATGGACAAGCACCATCGTGAATTATCTCGCTGTCGCTGATAATTTCCTGCAAACAAATCGGTTCTGATCTGGAAGTAATCGCCCGTATCATTCCTGCAAGTGGGAGCGATGACTTATGTTGATGTCACCCGCTGGCTTTTTATGGCAACGATTAATAATTCAGTAATTCTCTCTGCAGTGATGCTGTTCTATTTATAAATGTTTAATTTAGCTTCCCATGTCCGTGTTGTCGCTGCCCTCCCCTTTGCCTCCTGACGTAACACCAGGCTCTCGGCGATGCTTGCAGTCACCAAAGTTACCAGAAAATTGTCCATGCTGGAATATGTTAATCCCTTTCCTCATTTGCATATCTTCTTTATGTTATTTAAGTCTGGCTTTGGTGGCATGAATGCAAATGTTGGCCGAGCGCACTATTTCAGTCAAAACCTGATTTAAGCTGCAGGCCTAACCCGGGGCTGGCGGCTCCTTGTCTCTGTTATAAAACTTCTCTGTTATAAAACTTTCCAGTCTCCAACACAGCCACGCAAATAACTCTCTTTTTTCTTTCTGCGTTTGTCTTTCAGGAAATTGCAGCTTATTTAATAACGTTTGAAAAGCATGAAGAATGGCTAACAACTTCCCCTAAAACAAGGTAACGTTGCTCACGCTTCAGCACATTGACTCATTCTCGCTGATGACTTGACTCACTAATCAATGCGTTGGCCACCGAGTGAAAACTCCCAGTCATGCTTGATGGCTTGTGACACCAAACTCTCATTAATTGACTTAATGAGCATTTTATTGAATGAAATCAGATTGATTAAAAATGGAACAGCTGCAGTCTTGACAGGTTAAAGTTTTAACCCGATTGTTCAGGATTTAATCGTATCCCTTCAGATGAACGGGTTGGAAAGCCTTTGAGCGAGGTTGCAGGCTATTTATCTTGACAGTGCTCCCTGCAGCCTCCAACTTTAAATAAATAAAAAAGCACAAAGCCCTCCCCTGTGCTCTGCCTGTTTAACATGCAGTCGCAGGGATTGTTTGCGTTTTGGTGTTTTTTCTTGCTGGGGTTAAGTGTTTGATGGCGAGGAGATCCCAAAAAGCCGCATTAACAGACATGTTTGCAGTTTATTATTCAGTAAATGTCATGTCTTCTTCGCACTGCCATAAATGTTTAACTCCCCTGTTCCCCTGGGAACCGATACGTGAAGTTTTGCTGCAGATATTTTCCTGCCGTTTCAGCTCTGTTCAGGCTTGCAAAGTTTCCATGTGTCTCACTAACGCAAAAAAATACTCTCGCTTTCTAATGTTTTTTTTTTTCTTTTTTTTCTTTTCCTCAATCCACCCCTTTCCTGTTGAGGAGGGCAGGGTTGTTGGGGGGAGCCTGCTGGGACCAAGGTGGGAGAATAGCCCTTGTTAGCGTCCCGCGTCCCATCGCATCCGCCGCGGGGAGCCAGCGCCAGAGGCGTTACTGGGTCTGGTGTCGCCTCCTCCGCGGTTATTGGGGGCAGAAATAAGTGAGACCTGAGGACCGGTACTGACCCCCACGGGTAGCACAGGCTGATCCCCTAGGCGTTTCAGAGCTCCCAGCCAAGGAGAGGATGGAGGTGGAGGAGGGCAGATGGGGCACGGAGAGGACCTACCTTCCATGAAATTCAGGGAAAAAAGAGCTATGTCATTTTAGCTTTTTCCTGCCCCAGTCTCCTCTGTATTTTGGGGGACATCTTTAAGTAATACGTTAATTGTATTAAAACGTGTCTGTAATACCTGGAAAGGGAGACATCTGAGACCCAAGGGCTTTCTCAGATGGTTCTCCAAGACCCAGAGCAGCTGCGGCGGCTGAGGGGCCCTTACACGGACCTTTCCCGCGGATGGCGGCGGCGCCTCTCACCCCGGTGAGTGCAGAAATGTTCTGTTTCCCTCCCCGTCTTGGCTGCAGGACAGCAGGTAATTTGATAACGTTAGAGAAGGCTTTTTTCTGACCTGGTAATCCAAATTTCAGAATTAATGCAAAATAATTTGTTGCTGAACCTTTGCCAGATAAACCTGTTAAGTGGTCAGAAAACATCTTAACTAGCCTGTATACATAGTATACATAGCATCATTAAAGATAGCAGATTATAAATGTAGCAGTGTTTTATTATTTTAAGAGTCTGGTTTGCTAAAGGCAATGCCTGAAAATGATTTTGTAATTAATATTACAATACTTTCCTCCTGTGTGTTTACACTTGAAAGAAAGTCCCAGGAGAAGGAAAGTTGTGACTGTTGTTCAAGGGCCTTCTTAAATTGTGGAGTTAGTTTTCTTTTTTTTTAAAAAATATAAAAATTAATTGGAAGAGTTAAATGCTGAGTTCATACAATCAGGGCTCTTGGTATTACAGAATTAATGACATTGATCCAGCACCGAACCGGGACACTCCCCGTTCTTTGCTGCTGTGGGTGCTGCTAATTTAATCTTGGAAAATTAATAAAAGTGAATCGCACCCCGGGCGCGTACGGGAGCTTCTGAAGGGGTGATGTGTGGCGTGGTTTGAGGAGCCGTTGCTGGATGGGTCCGAGCAGGTGGGCAACGCGCTCCGGGAGCGGGCGATGGTGGATGCTGGCGCTGGGTCCCGTTGCCCGGTTCCAGCTCAGCTTCGTGCGAGGAGCCGGCGCCACGCGGGTGACCCCCTCTGGCTGCTGGGCTAGTGCATGGGGGGCAGAGGAGGAAGAGCTTGTCTCGAGCCGTGCCGGCCGTTTCTGAACGCCTCCCTCTCCTCCTCCTCGAGACGCTCCCGTGCTTTCGGCGCGGTGCCGCTCGGGTGTCGCCTTGGTCACAGGCAGAGGAGGAACCTTTGGGCTGGCATTAGAGGAGCAATGAGAAAGCTTTTAAAGGTCTTGAAAAGCTGATTTTTTCATGAAACTTCTTGTTGAATGACTCTAATTGGTAAATATGCTGATACCAATGTGCTGCAATATTAGTGCAGCAGTCTTTTGAGCACTCCAGTTTATCAACATAAATTAACAAGTACGCCTCGCAAGGCATCGACCTTGATGTTTCCTTGAAATGGTGTTTGGTTACTTGATCATGTGCCAGATAATCCGCAGCGGGTATTCCAGTCAGCAGGGTGAACTGGGGGAGCTTTCTGCTAATGCAGCAAGGCTGAAGTCTCTGACATTTCCAAGTTTAAATGCAAATTGTGACAACAACAAAAAAAAATTACTTGACATTTGTATATCAAGTAGAACTTAATTGTTATTTACATTGGAATTGCAGTGGCAAAGATGACTTTCTTAGTCCAAAAACATTCTGCGAGATGAAGATACTTTGCTTATCTGTTTCCAGGTGCCTTCTGTAATTATCATTTTTAGAGTATTTTAAAAATAGCTTTGAGCGATCCGCTGTAGCTTCACCGGTGTTTCACAAGCGAGGCTCAGGCCACTGGAAAGGCTTCGCCGTGCCCGCGGGCTGCGGGGTTGTTTTTGCAGCGGGGAAAGCAGCTGGGCTGGGTCCGTGCCCCGTCCTGCGCTGCATTTACATTTCTGCTGCGTGTGCAGCAAGCCCAGAGGTTTTGGGTGGGCAGGCGGCGCGCGCCAAGCTCTTCCTTCCTTCCTCCCAAAGCCCAAGAGATGAATGTTTCTGGGGAAATGTTTCGGGAAGGTGGCACCGTGATGAGCCGTCGCTCCTACTAATACGCGAAGCAGCTGGGGAAATTCCCAGATGGGGGGTTTTCAGCCCGGAAAGAGCCCAAATGCTGTTTTTAGGCAGTGAGACTTGGCAGTGATTAATATTTCTGCAACTAAAAAAGTTGGGCGACAGCCTGCTCCTGCAAATCAATAGCGATTTACATACCCTGTCAGTATGCATTTGGGGTAATTCAGTTTTACTTCTGCTACCTACTGGGTTATTTTTGGCATTCTAATTCCCCTCTCCTGGCTTCAGGAGAACGAGCGTTGCTTTTGGTGTAATAGGCATGGACAGTAGGCTGGGCGGCCTTTCCCGCTGATAAATCCCAACCTAATAAATCGCAGAGTTGTCAGGACCCGGCTCACAACAGCAGCAACGACCACAACCCCCGGCCGAGCCCCGCTGGCGCAGCCGCTGCCCCTGGCAGAGCCGGTCCCTGCCCCGGGCCGGGAGCCACGATGCTGCGGGCAGCTGGGCCCAGCTCCCGGCCTGGGGTGCGCCAAGGGAGCCGAGAGCCGAGGAAGTCGCCCGGCTGTCCCTTGTCGTAGCCCCCGTGTCTTGGAGAGGACTGTTCTACTGTTTATTCACCTCGGCTTTTGCTGCTGCTGGTCACTAAAGCAGGGGATGCAGATTGCATTAGACTGGTTAAAAATCACTTTTCCCGATTGAAAATGCACTTGCGACAATTGTTGTTTTCCTCTGTTACTTTTTTAGAGTTTTTTGCTGGCTCCGGAGTTTTGAAATTTCCTGAGAAATTCAATTTGTTATGTTAAATGTGGGCTTGTGCCTCGGCTGGAGCGGAGGGTTCCAGCCCACAATGAGATTTAGAGGGAGCACGGCAGGAAAACTTAATAAAACTCCAGTTTCAGCCAAGCAGCCTGCGGGGATGTAGAGGTAGAAGAAACGCGCCCGTCCCCCCCGAGAGCGTCGCCGTGTGCGTGGGGAGCTCTGAGCCCAGCCTGGACCCCTGCTGCTGGGGTGCGGGATGGGGCAGCACCCCCCGAC